GAAAAATAATAGCATTTTAAATGTGACAAAATGATATCCTACTGGGCAAAGATAGATTTGATTGATTGATTATTGCCATTAAGTTGGTGTTGACTCTTAGCAACACATAGATACAAAGTGAAATAAAACCACAGTATTTCTAGGGAGTTAACAAATGCAGTCTGGGTTGCATAACAGAGGAAAGTGGGTTAATGACTTAAGTTCCCACAATATTCTAAATGAAGCATTGTTTTGTGGCTTCCCCAACTTGGTATTTTCTGCAGGTATATGTTTGACCTTCTATTCAGAATTCCTCAGCCAACAGTGGACATAACAGAATTCTGAGAGGTAAAAACTGCACTTCTGGAGTGGTGCCATGCTTGGGGAAAGCTTTTCTGAAGCATTGTGGGAAATTAAAACAGCATTTCCAGAGAGGTCCCAGGGGTACATGAGGATATTACATATTGAGATCTTTTGAAAAGGAAGAGGGAGAGAACAATTTCAGCTCAGATAACAGAATGTCCTGTGAGAGATAAAGGAAAACATTAGTATTACAGTATTCTTGTTTAGATATTTGTGAGTCCTGGGCTCAGATGGGTCCTGGGAGGAAGATTAATCTGAAGGGTTATCATTCAAAGACAAGTATTTTAAAGGCAAATCATCTGCTACCAGATTTGTGAGCTAGGATTAAAAGAATCTTGCTCCTGCATTATAAATTTTCCATTGTATAAATGAATTAGTCTTATTTAGGCATTGTAACAAAACGTAAATAGTGCGATTCAGATTCTGCTTTTACCCAGTCATGCTTGTGGTTCTCTCTGAGCCTGAAAGCAATGAAGAATGTGTTCAGAAATAACAAATGAACTTGCTAAATTGTACAACAGATTTATTTAAACTAACTATCAGTTTTTCTTTCTTTGTGAAAGAGCGATGTACCATTGCCAGTAGGCGGAGGAACATAAACATGAAGGAAAGCAATGTTATACCAGCAGTGCTCATTTTCTTGTCATCTTTTTGAGGTTTTTTTCTGGATACTTAAAAAAGAAAAAAGGAAGGAAATTCTCTCATTGGCTTCTTCTGTGAACCTCTAGATAAAATATTTTTCTTCTTTGTGTCCTGCCTTCACCTTTCTTTCAGGATATTTTCATTGAAGCTGCTTGGAAAAAGTCAATGCTGTATCTGAAAATTATTCAAATTATACTTAGCCAGAAATTTAAGTATACAGTAAGCCAAAAGAACAGTTTGAACCAGTCAGGTGGGGGAAAAAACAGCAAAATACTGAAGTCCATAGATCCCTCCCTGTCTCAAGGGCAAAACCAAAAAGAACATAACATTGCCTGTGACCTTAAATGTCTTGGATAGAGATCTGCATAACTGGTTCGTTTGTTTAAAATAGAGCTATTGCTTGGGACTGAGACCCTTTTTCACACTTAAATTTTAAGTATTGTATAGCTTTAATGGGAAAAAAGGAGGAATAAGAGTGATTTACTCAAATGTCACAGTTGTGAAGGAAACTTGTCAGCTCACTTCCCTGCCAAGAACAGGGAAGCTGTATAAAGATAAAGAAACTGTTTTCAGTGTAGTGGCTTAAATTCAAAATGTCCAAGTCCCTGTTCATAATGTTCTAAATTGGTTTGTTACGAGTTTTTTTCTTTAATGGTAGGAAGAGGTTCCTATGCTACTAAGAACTATGCAGCGATCCCCATCTCAGGGACAAAACCAGAAAGAACACATGCCATCTACAGTATAATCTTAATTTTCTTAAATGGGAATGTCGCCACCACACTGCTTGTTTACAGTATGGCTTCTGCTTGCCTAAAAATGTTGCAGACTTTTTTTATGCTTACAGTAGTTGTATAACTTTGCTGAGAAAAGAGAGCAATAAAGATTTATTTAGACTTCATAATTGCAAAGGAAATTTGTCAATTTCTTTGACAAGAACAAAGAAGCTGCATAATGATAAATGAACTGTTTCTAGCACAGTCATAGCACAGTCATTCCCAACTTTTTTTTTTTTTTTTGCAGCATCTCATTCCAATGTTCTTCTCCACCCTGTTTGAAAAATGTTAAAATTGTGTGTGAATTCTGATGGAACCCTCGAGAGGATAAATCATGGCTCTTTGTGCATTTTTATATTGGCCCAAGGCTACCCAGCTGGCTTTGTGCCTAAGACGGGTCTCACGGTTCCTAGCCCAGTGCCTTAACCACTACGCCAAACTGGCTCTCACAATAAATACATTGGGCGCCAAAGTGTCTTATATCATGGATTACACTGACAATTCTTACAAATATTATTTCATTGATATTTTGTAATCTCTACAATCTTAAATTCTTTATAGTTCTGATTTATTAACTGAATGCATTGCTAATTATAGTTGTGGACAAAGAGACTACAAACTCTGACAAAGAGTACTTGCATAACCTTAACACCAAACATATCACTTGTTTCTCAATGTTCTCCTACCTCCTTCACTTTTACTGCCCTCTTGAACTTCTCAGTCAACCTCCAGAAGGCACTGCTATCCTAGTCGTTAAGGAAATCCAGATTCCAACTTCACTATGGAGTCTTTGGGTGACTTTGGGCCAATCTCTCCCTCCCACTCTCTCCATCCTACTTTATGGGATTACTTTTGTGGAGATAAAATGAGGGGAAAATCCCCTTAAATGCTACTTTGAACTCCCAAAGAAAGGTAAAGCAATTAATAACATACGTACATACATATATAAAAATGACATTTGAATATATAGTTACATATCACTGCATTTTTATATCTGGAGAAGAGTATATAGGCATTTGAAGGCAACTCACCTGTCTGGCATAATTCTTCTTCCAAGCTAGAGGAATAATAACTGATATTTGACCTTGTTTAGAAGCCATTTTCAATTCCTCAGACTTACTTCAACGCTAGTCCAAGCTATTTTGCTGCCTGAAGCAGAGCATAATACCTTAGGTCAATCAAATTATGTTAGCATCTGTGCTTCACCAGAGCCTCTCCCTGTTCCTGGCAGTAAACTATAACAATAAATAATTATTTGCTGCCGTTTTATAACATCCATAATCTGGAGCCTGAAGCAGCTACATTGTGATAAGATCAGCTCTAAGCTCTTTTTGGACAAGACTAGGGAGAAGCAGTCTTATTTCTGCACTAATTCCATTAGAAGATAATTTTACTTCTTTTACTTCTTGCCTTTAAAATGGTTTAGATTATTATTGGTTACTGCCTTGCATTTTTTCTGTGTTCATTCTCTGCTTAATGGTGTACCTATATAACTTCAAATTTGTTGTGAGCTACTTAGAACACTAGGGATGATAGACCCACAATATTTTAAAATAAATATATCTTTTTTTAAAAAAAAATTCTGTGGCTGATGGGATTCAACTTCTCTGAGCCTAAGCAGAGCATTAGAATTATTTATTTCATCAAACTTATGAAGCTGACCAAATCTGAGTGGCTTACAATAAAAACAGCCATTTTAAAAAAAAAAGCTGATAAAATGGCCAAACCAGAATAAAAATAATGGAAACCAAAAAGAACAAGACCCGATTATGCAAAATATCTCACAAAACATCCCAGGGCTTGGGGAAAGAGGCAGATCTTTGAGGCTTGCTTAAATTATGGCCAGGCCAAGGCAACACAAACCTTTCGGGGGGTACCATTCCAGAGGACAGGTGCCACAACAGAGGAGGCCTGCTTCCGGGAACCCATTAGATGACATTGTTTCAAGGATGGGACCCAGAACATACCCCTGTGCTGGATTTTACAGAGTGGGCAGAAACGATGGGAGAAAGGTGGTCTCACGGGTAATCAGGCCCTATGTTATGAAGAGCTTTATAGATCACCAGCATACCTTGAATTATATCCAGTCACCAGTAGCCAGTTTAGCTTGCACAGCAGAGGTGTTTCATGAGAGTTCTGAGGCATACCTACAACTGCTCATGCAACTGCATTCTGGACCTGTTGCAATTTCCTTCATGCAGAGTGCTGTGTTATCATCAAAAGCTTTTGTGGACTAAGACTTAAACCAAGACTTAGCAACATGGTATTTGCAGGCTCCATGGCATGTGTGAGCCCTCCCAGATGGCATTTGTAGAACCTCAACGTTCAGTTTTTTTAAATAATAAATGACCAAAATCCCAGGGGATTTCCAATCCCATAAGATTTCTGGGTTCTTGACTAAAATGTCATGAGATTTTGAGTGAGAACACCAGAATCACATTGTTTTTATTTTGGCATCCACTCTACAGACCATTTGTAATCTTTCACAAAGCACCAGTGTGCCATAAATCACAGGCTTGGAATAACTCTACTAATCTACAGCCTGCTATGGGAATTGATGTGTTCTATGTTTGAACTGTGTTGTGAAAGAACTTGCAGCAGAAAACCTATACCCTCTTTTCAGCATTAGGGTCATATTATGCTCCAGTGGTTCATTGTCCCATAAGAATGTTCTTTGTTGGCTTGACTTTATTGGATTTTTTATAGTTACTGATAAAGAAATAGTTGGAAGTTAAGATTGTCCAACAAAATTCTAAACATGCCACTAATTGTAGTGATTACATTTGTTTTTGCAGAGTTGTAAGCAGGAAGAGCAAATATCAGTACATTTTTATGTCTGTGGCTGCACCAGTAAATCTATTTACATTACAAATATACAAGGCAGAAGATGCAGAGCAACTTTGACTTTGATAATGTTAGTTATCATTAATCATTCTTGTGTAATACAGAAAGCATTGAAAATGAGAGGGAAATGATGCTACACACATAGTAGCAAAACCTATGGAAACTGATGGAAAGAATGATAGACAGTGTATTGATACACAGTAATTAAGGTAATGACAGTGAAGTAGATGCAGGTATTGTCAGTGTCTTATTGTCTAGCTCTGCTTTGCTAAATAAATATTATATTCTGATATATTATTAATGTCATTTAGAGTGGTAGAGAAAAACACAGACTATTTTTCTTATATATAATGAAGCTATACAGCTAAATTGCATATTCCTAAAATTTCTTCCTTATAGGTGTGTTTCAAATTAAAGAAAGAGCAATTGACAGTCAGCTGGAGTGTCTGTTCTGTATTGTTGTATTAGATTCTGATTTTGTGAAGATGAGTAGGAAACTGCAACAAGCATGACATCTTTGGCCAACATCATTCCTTCCCAACAAACTGAGTGGGTCTCCTTCAGTGATGGTCTGCACCTTTCTGTTACCTCCCAAGGTAAATTTCTCTCTGATGACATAGATTATTGCTATTTATTGAAATGAATTACCATTTGAATTCAGCTCTAGTTGAAAACAAAAACCTCCTGTGGCTTGCAGTGAATACAGCTTCTACATATGCACAATTCTCCATCCCCTTCCCCCCATCTGTGGGTTTTTATCCCTTTCTCAATTGCATGTTACAAGAAGAATTCTCCTGAAAAAGACTAAGGAAAACCTTGTGTCTAAGTTTCTTGTGATTATCCTGATCTGCTGACCAGAACCCAGGTGGTCCAGTGTAAAATGTAATCATAGTTATATAGCAGGTATAGGGTACAGCTGTGGAGTGTCCACTGTAATTTAAAAATAAAGAATTCAAAATTGTAAAAAACTTGGAAGATTCCACTATCCTTGAATAAAAAATAGTTGGATTTTGGAGTGGAAATTCTAAAATCTAGGGAGAGTATTGAAAACTGGTAAGATTTCAAGTGATTAAAAAATGTTTTGAAGAGAAGAAGCCTGGGGTCAAAAATGTTGTCTAATGCTGAAATATAGTATTACAGTGAATCCCATCAGCCATTAAGCTCATAGGGTAAATTTGGATCAGTCACTCAGTGTATCTCAAAAGATGGCTATGAAGATAAAATGAGGGCATGATGTCCAGTTTCCTTGGCTTCTGGGAGGAAGCAGGATAAAAATAGTCCTAAGGATAAGATTTCAGTTAGGCAACTAGGACATAGTAGATCATGGTTTAAAAAGAGAAAGAGAACACAGTAGTATGCTTTGATACAATTAGGTTTAGAGAACTAAGAATTGTATTGGTGTAAGTGGAAATGTGGGTCAAGCTAAACCATTTATGGGATTCCTTCCATGTCTATAGTTTTATGATTCTCTGGGCAGAGCTTTTTGTTACAAAAAACTGAGGGATGATGGGTTTTTTTGGCAAAAAGGAGGCAAGCAGTAGTCCTATGCCCCTTTTTCCTTTTCTTTCTGTAATATCTTCATTTTACATTCCATATGCAGCTATTTTAATATGTATTTGCCCATTTCACCTACATAATAACTGGCTTCATACATCAAACTAATCCATGGTCTCTTTTGACAGTGATCTGTTGAATTAGCTTTGGTGGCTGGATTCAGCTATAATAGAAAATCATAGACCATGATTTAGAAGTCACAAAAATTGGGTTCATATGTCCTACTAATCAGTCCAAACAAACCACATAAGGAGAGTCTGAAGGTAGAAGTGGAAGGGAGTTTGAAGGTACTCAGTGTGGCTACTGTGTTTCTCTGTTCAGCAAACAGCTTTAAAGTCACTGTATACCATTAACAGAAGTTAACAGATGATAAAGTTGTCTATTTTGTATAAATCAAACAATTGTGGTGGTAAGAGCGGCGAAACATCAGTATTTCCCTGCTCTTATTGCATTTGCAGAATGCCACCCAATGGCCCTGTTTAGAATCACCCGATCCCTGTTGGGGAGAGGGGGTTCAGAAAACCATTTACAGGGCCACACTGAGGAATTTTCTGAGCATCTGCAGGATAAAGTCGCTTGGATCCGTTCTAAGTTGGACGCCAAGCGTGAGGCATGGTCTGGAGAGATGCCCGGGAAACGTCTTTGCCAAGTTATCTGGGACCAGTTTGATCCTGTTGGTCCTGAGGAAGTGGACAGGATCCTCTGGACTGTAAATGCCACCACATGCCCTTTAGATCCATGTCCCTCCTGGCTGGTGAGGGCAGCCAGGGAGGGGACATGTGGTTGGGTCCTGGTGATGGTTAATACATCCTTGAGAGAAGGGATGTTCCCGGCGTTTAAGGAGGTGCTGATGCATCCCCTCCTCAAGAAACCATCGCTGGACCCTACTGTTCTGGATAATTTCCGTCCAGTCTCCCACCTCCCCTTTATGGGAAAGATGGTTGAGAAGGTGGTGGCACTGCAGCTCCAGAGGATTTTGGATGATACAGATTATCTGGACCCCTTTCAGTCAGATTTCAGGCCCGCATATGGAACAGAAACAGCATTGGTCGCACTTATGGATGATCTCTGGCGGAAACAGGATGGAGGTGGTGCATCCATCCTGGCTCTCCTTGACCTCTCAGCGGCTTTCGATACCATCGACCATGGTATCCTTCTGGACCGACTCAGGGAGTTGGGGTGGGCAGCGTAGTCTTGCGTTGGTTCCCCTCCTTCCTCCAGGGCTGGTCCCAGTTGGCGTTGATAGGGAAGGAGAGATCGGGCCCATGCCCCCCCCCCATGGGGTGCTGCAGGGTTCAGTACTCCTCTCCTTTTTAGCATCTACATGAAACTGCTGGGTGAGTTCATCCGTCTCCATGGGATGAGGTATCATCAGTACGCCGATGATACTCAGTTGTACATCTCCATCCTGGGGGAAGTATGTGATGCTGTGGCTGCCCTTTCCAGGTGCCTGGAGGCTGGGGGGGGCTGGATGG